TACTTCGTAAAAAAAGGAAAAGAAAGAAAGAAAGAAAAGAAAAGAAAGAAAAAAAAGAAAGAAAGAAAGAAAGAAAGAAAGAAAGAAAAGAAAGAAAGAAAGAAAGAAAGAAGAAAGAAAGAAAGAAAGAAAGAAAGAAAGAAAGAAAAAAAAAAAAAAAAAAAAAAAAAAAAAAAAATATATATATATATATATATATATATATATATATATATATATATATATATATATATATATTACAAGAAAGCCTAACTAGGAGTTTTTAAGATAATTTCTTTTTCTAGCACTCAAGTTTCTTTTTTTTCAGGTGCTGCATACTGGGTTTCTTATATAAAGAAAAATGTGTAGTGCTCACAGCAGAGCCCATAAAAGGTGGCGGTTGCACAATCAATGACCATGCAAAAGGTAGTTGAAAACAGAAGAAATGAATTTTTGACACCCGAACCACGCCTTTCTTTCATTGTTTTTTAGAGGAAGGTTTCCATTTTTCTTTCATTGGTCGGAGGAGGAAAGTTGAGTACTTTTCTGGACGCTGTGTAACAGTACTACCAGATGAGACAAAGCAGAATATAAACAGAATATTTAGAGAGTACTGGCTGCTACATCAAAAATTCAACCACACTGGTAAACAGAACATAAATCCCTTCTAAAGTAAATATATATTGTGGCCCTTGTATACTTGTATTTGTACAGAATTGTCCAACAAACTTTCGGGCTTTAGGAAATTCATCATAAATCCATGTAAAACTTTTCCAATTCACTGTGTTCTGCACATTTATAGGTAGTAACTGTTCTGTGATTGTTTCTATGCAATGCAATGAACATATATTATTTATTTCTTTTACAAATCAACCTTCCTTAATACCCAGCCTGCAATATACATTCTTTGTGTAGTGCGACACAGTGTATCTTGTTGCTTTTAAGGCCCTCCAATATGGCGACTGTCAGAAATGCGCTTCAACATTTGCGTATCAGAGACAATAGTTGCTCGTTTATTTTTTTTTTTTTTTTTTTAGATCAGTGCCTCCCCCGCGGCAGGTACCTTCACCCCGAGGGATAAAAGCAGGGGATGCGAGCGACTGACTGAGGAGACGCAAGAGTTAAAGTTAAAGTTATTGCAGTTTTCTTATGTAGGAATTGTACTAATATAAATATAAATATATAAACATAATTTTCTATATTACCTTCGCCTCTCCGATATCGACGATTTTGGTATCGTTGGATTCCTCTCACTCTGCACAATCCAAATATGTAGGTTTTATTGCGCGGAAACCCCCGTTAGCGGCAAACTTGGGCCCTATATCGGGGGCGATGATGTCGGAGCGGCGGTCGGAGCAGCGGACGTAATCTAGAAAATTACCCTAATAATATAATCCACAGCGAAAATAACCATGGTTACTCACATGACTTTCCATGTGCAGCCACCCCCCAACCCGCCGAGGAAACAAAATCTCCACCACGTATTCACGGCAGGATAGAGCGCACACGAACTAAACGCGGAGCCGATAACCTACAATAACCTAGGATTTTTAAGGTACTAACCTGATTGATAAATGCCGCCGATAGTAGAGAGGGTGCTCCCTTCACGCAGAAATTGAAGGAGGCGGGGTGCGTCCGGCAGGAGGTCCTAGGCCGGAGGATACAGCGACGCTGCAGCACACAGGAAGTGGTGCAACCTCACATTGAGGTCCTGGTAGTGCATGAGGAACATGCACCGAGCCAGGTACCCTGCGAAGTGCTTCTTCCTGTGGCCACAGAGTGGTACCTTCCTCTTAGCCTCCCTCCACTGCCGCTCGATCGTGTTCGTATGAGCTTGCGTGTCCGGATCTACAAAGTGGTACGAGTGGTTGACGGTCAGGTGCTCGAACCCCTCGTCAGAGAGGCAGTTGTAGGCCTTCCAGCAATCGGAGAGGATGATCGACCCGGGGCGATCCGTTCCTTAATAACTGCAAGGTCCGATCCTCCACCGAGACGAGAAAGAGATCGCGCGTCTCCCTGCAGATGCCGCCGAAGACCCACTACCCGTCAATCACTCGGCCCACGTTGTACTTGCGGCGCCCGAACTTGCTCTCGTCTATCTCGACGATCTTTCCTTGGGCGTCGATCATACCCTGCCGATCAAGAGCCCAGTGAACCATCACCTCCCGGCAGAAACTCGACCAGTCGGTGAAGGTCGCTGAGCTCACTCCCAGCTCGTGCCGCATGAGCCGGAACGTGAACCTCTCCCGGACGAAGAAGATCACGAAGATCAGCAGGGTCTCAACATCGAGGCGAGATTGCTCAAAGAAAGAGCCCACGAACATCGAAGCGGACCAGTCACACCTCTGCCTCTTCTGCTTCCTGACCGCCACGGACCTATCACACCTGAACCTTTTCTGCTTCATGTCCAGGCGTGCTGGCTGGCCGCACCTGCCGCAGGCTCTCTCCCGACGGAGGAGGCCGTAGCGGAAGCACATTTCAAGCATCTCATCCTGGCTTGTTGCTACCTCGCGCAGAAAATCTATCTCGGAGTAGGAGCACCTTTCACACACTGTCATCGCGGCGGCCATGGAGAAGTACTGAATGCGACGGTTATTTCGGTTAGGATTTCGAAAATCATGGTTCCAGGGGACGGGAAACTCGACCATGAGGCCATCGGCGTAACATCGAGAGAGGCGCAAAACCCGCCGACGAGGGCGCTCTTCTGTTCATGGTATACTCTGTTCATCCTGATTATACTACAATCGTGTCTTTCTCTAGAACCTTCCATGCCCTCCCTTGCAATCGGGGCCAAGTTTCTCGCTAACGGGGGGGTTTCCGCGCAATAAAACCTACATATTTGGAATGTGGACAGTGAGAGGAATCCAACGATACCAAAATCGTCGATATCGGCGAGGCGAAGGTAATATAGAAAATTACCAAATATAATATATAAACATTCTTATATAGACACATCTCTATTATGTGCTTATATAATACTAAGAAGGCGACCAAAGGCAGTGAAAAGTGAACCATGGAGGCAACGCTCACAGACGGTCCACCATGCATAAACTCACGAGGAATCACGCAGATGAGACATGTTTTTATTATACTAAAGTTTGAGTTCTGTGCTGCGAGATGACATGTATATCAAGATAGAATCAGTTATACCAATCGGTAGTTGTCATTGACACACGTAACTATAAAATTATGTTGTGAAAAGTTGAGATTCAGACACAGAAATTTATGTTATTTATAGTTCCCGCCTCTTATGTATGGAAATAACACAATGAGACTGCATATAGAGTAATTTCCATTGAAGCTATCTACCTATGTATACATATATCTTCTGTACATGTATCTGTCAATCACTTATTCAGTAAATTAATCAACCAGTCAATCAGTTTATCTGTCAGTCTATCTCTATCTGCCTGTCTGTCTGTGGTCTATGTCTGTCTGTCTGTCTGTCTGTCTGTCTGTCTGTTGTCTGTCTGTCTGTCTGTCTGTCTGTCTGTCTGTCTGTCTGTCTGTCTGTCTGTCTGTCTGTTGTCTGTCTATCTGTCGATTTATCTATTTATCTATCCATTTATCATTAAATCTGTCTATCTACTTATTTTCATGTATGTATTTTTTCTAGTCAGTGATTAAACACAATATTATATCAACATCACTATGTTACGTTACGATGATAATTTTGTGTTATTGCACAAACGCAGGAAACATTTTCACCATGAAGTGTCCTGGCCTGTTGTTAGTTAGCCCGAGGTTGGCAATGGCAGACCAAATACAATGTTTGCTAAGATTGACTGACAGTTATTGGGCTAACTGTTTATGTGGTTTAGGTTACAGTTCAGTTACTCAACAGAAGAGTCGAATTACATATATTTTAAGATCAAGAGAAAGACAGATTACATCCTTTCACATTTTTAAACACCATTTAATTTTATGTTATGCCAATGTTTTGGAGTCGATGGTGCATTTTTTTTTTTGGGGGGGGGGGGGGGAACTATGAGTACCAGAAGGATTTTTTCTTCTTGTGACATGAAAACTTTCATGGAGGTTATCTGAAAGGAGAGCTGATTTTTTTTTCTTCACATGTCCAGAATTTTATTGTAAGAATTAATGAAATGAATTTTACGTTTCCAATGAAAATTCTACAACCATTTTTGAAAAATTAATTATGAAGAGATAGGTCGTGTTCTAATGATACATATGATGAAATATGATCTACATATTGATGTTACACAGGAAATAACTAAATTGAGTATGTCACCATCCTCATATTGTGCAATAGATGGCAAATAATCAAAGCATGTGTATCCCATTGCATGTATTTGTATACGATCCCCTATCTTAACAACATAAAATTCGAATGATTAATATCAACTGACATTTATTAATTAATATGAGAAATGCATCAGAATAATAAGCAGGTCAGGATATCAACTATTTATTTAAATTTCGTCTGCGAACACTCCATCAAAATCCAAATTCTTAGTTCACCAATAGTAAGTATAGGCTGTGTTCGCCTTCCTCCTACGCCCATACAGCTGCCACGCCCCGCCTCCTTCAGGGGACGTCGCACCAGCCTGGACTCCAGACCGCCCCAGTTGGAGGGGTCGCCCGCCGGGTCGTTGTCTGGCTCGTCTCGGGGAACCACGTTGGGAAGCTCCTCCAGCATGAGCATCTCCATGGCCATGGCCAAGGCAGGCTGCACCTCGACCATGTTTATGATTTCGTTCGGATCCACTGAGGCGAGAGGAGCGGCAGGGATTAAGGTACGCGCGGAGACATGAATGCAAAGCTACTCGTTTTTAAGCACACACACACACACACACATGAGAGAGAGAGAGAGAGAGAGAGAGAGAGAGAGAGAGAGAGAGAGAGAGAGAGAGAGAGAGAGAGAGAGAGAGAGAGAGGGGGGGGTATAGATAGATAGATTGATAGATAAGAGAAAGAAATAGCATACACAGAGCGATTAAGATAATTAATCTTACCTGTCAGGTTGAACAGCCAGAGTCCAGGTTCTTCTCCGGGATCTA